TGCTACAAACACACATGTAACATTGTTCGGACACTAGTAAACTAACTTCAATATTTCTATATAACACCGGCCACAAAGCAGTAAGCGATAAAATGAACCAATAAATTCCAGTAGGAAAATAAACATAGCCCGTTTTGTAAACCCGGCTTAACGTTTATTAAAAACAAAACATAAAAATCAAATATAAGTAGGATCATAGACAACTACAAAACTGGTACGTGTAAAAAGTTAACAAAAGACAAATAAGTTACCGTGAAAAATACTGTAATAATTCGTATAAAATGTCCAAGAACGCACAAGTCGGTTAACAACTTAGATCCTAGACACATTTATTCATACATATATAAATAACAAACATACTTTTAACGGTGTTAGCTGAAGTAAGCCCGAGCCTGTTAAATTATTAGTCCCCACCAAAGGATCGTAACTTTAAACGAACTTCTATGAAATTGTATTAATCTAGATTAAATCAATCAAAAGTCATAGACCGCAATTTAGCAGCTTACAATTAAACTATCTAAAAGTCGCAACATTTCTATGGTACTAGATATAACTGACCCGGCCTAAATCTAAATTATTATCTGCCTACCGTCACTTGAATCCAAATACAAGGTTGTGTTATGGAATAAATTCTTTACAATCTAATAAAAACTATTACACGCAGATTGAACACCCGTTTTTTTTAGACATTTTGTATTACATTAAATCGTTAAATTAAAACACTATTTTTCAATTATTTTTTTAATAGAAGTTTTGTGTACTTTCATTAATGGCGTTTACAAACTTAACAATACTTTGAACTCTTTAATTTGCTGCTTATGATATTGGAACGAATACGGTTTCGCTAAAATGGTGAAGTTTGTGTGTGCGTCAGAGGCTACAGATTTACATACCATCTCTTATGACTTTGCTATAGTTTAGTCTGTAATTCTGTACAACACTCTTTCGTATACTATGGAGTGGTTAAGGAGTCTCTTGAGATTTCACGTATCAATATATAATCTATAGTAATTATTTAATTAATTATCTTTCATTTCTTAAGTTCATTGGAATCACCATCATCAATACAGTCTATCAAAACTCCACTGTTGAACATCGGTCTCTCTCACAGATTACCACGTGTTAATTCTATCGATTCCCTGCATATTATCTCCCAATCAACTGCTTTGACCACAAAATAAAAGTGTATCAAGGGATGTATATTATTACACAATGATTTCGTCCTTATTTTGGAGTGACACACTAACAGCTTACTTTATAGTAGGTGTGTAGGTGTGGTGGTAGGTAGGTAGTGGATACAGAAGCTTATGGATCTGCAACCGACATCAAAAGTGGAATGCGTCATTCCTGAGGACTGAATTACCTAACAGCCGTAATTATTAATTGACTTCAAAATTGTCAATCGCCACACACAAAATTTTGATACGTGGAGGCGGCCCTGCACATGGTATTTCGTGTGTGTAAACGAGCTATTCATATTAATATGGTTTATTTACACGAATAAGGTATATAATACGACAAGCGAACACACATATAGGCCCTTTAACGATTTTCAATATATCTCCAAAACTATTCGCTGTAGATTCGAAGTGTGGATAATGTTATCGAATACAAACATTGATTAAAACCAAAAAGGGAAAGACATGGCAGTTAGACGTAAAAAGTGGTTCAATAAGTGACGCATACATGGATGTTGTGGTTGGTCGTACCGCTTAGAATGCGTTTCGGCTTTTTACAGACAAGTTGCACGCACTACGGTCACAGTGTATGTCATATTTCTGTTTTCTTATTGTGTGGGTTACTTTGTTTTCATAGTGCATGCAGAATGCAGATGTATGATTATATTATATTCGGTTAGGGAATGACACATATTTGTTTTGTCTATATCAATGAATACAAATGTGAAATATTTCCGAATACCTCGTTTACCGTACGCGAACGCGAAACACGTTATGAAGCGCCACCGTAACATTCTTGCACACAAATTTTATCACGTGTTCGATACTCGTATATACTATTTTTTTCTCCTACAATAACAATTGTACTACTAAATTTAACCGGAATTGTTGAATAATATGTACAAAATGTAACTATTGCTTCATAGGTTTGGCTAAGAAATAAAAATTATCATCGATCATTACTTTCATCATCGGTTTTTATCATTCGACACAATCTGCCAATATGACAGTTGTGTAAAGTTTTAAAATATACTCTGTGCACTCGTTTAACAAGCGCCTCATATCCTTACAAAACCATCCATAAGAGCGTACTCGCTAGGGTTGCCAACCGTATTAAAAAATTGGTTTGTACCATATTTTCATTAATTGTATTACTCGTATATACTGTAATGAAAATATATAGTACGCAAAAATACTATTTTTGAGCACGGCGAAATATTTAAAAATTAATTAAGTATAGGTTATATGTAAATATTTGCAGAACTCTTTCTTAAATTTGCAAAACACTGTATTTTCACGTCATGTATATTTGTATACATCTGTTCGTGAAATACTATATTTCTTACAATAATAGTTGGCAACTCTACCATTTTCCCTTTAGGGAATTATGTTATTGTAATACATCAAATAGATAGCATGTCACAAACTTTACACTCTGTACAGATCGATTAGAACTATAATTTTACAAATAAATTATTTAAAAAAATCACTCTTCCCTTTCTTTAGTTAATAAATACATTTTACAATAACTAAAATGTTATAACATCTGGCTCGTGGGGGCGCTGTGCTTGGACTTAAAGTGTACTGTATGTTTACATTAAAAAAAAAAACTTAAACATAAACTTTGTTTCTTTTTCATCATCAGCCCTTAAGTTGTACTGAGGGCTAAAAATCTTACGCTCACCAGATGTCGCTATTTGAGACTAAGGTGAACTTATTTGTTACGCAGATGGTCACACGGTGTCATCGTTGATACGTTGGGATTTAATTAAAAGTTTTTCGGTTTCTATTATATGTACATGACATAAGCAATGCTTCAATGCTGTATTCTTTAATTTTTTACACATTTTAAACTTTTTTTTTAAGTTCTTCTACTTTTAGGAATATCCGTAGCTTGGTTTATCCATTTCTAATGTAATTAATATAAAAGACATTAATCTCTACCCTTTCTGTCAAATATTTCACCTCAATTCAAAGTAGCGCCGCCCCGGTGACAGAAAAAAGTGGGCCAACCACAACATTGTTAAGGTTGGCTGGGTGATTGACGAGCCCAGTACTAGACGTCTTATTCTTCCTATTCACCTCGTCTGGGGGTAGTAACACCGCAATATATCGACAGCCACAATATCTTTCTGGCATTCCTTTAGTCGACTGTAACAACACCTACGGGTCGAAATGTAGCTGATGAATTTTAAGCCGCCACCACAAAGCAAGTTCAACGATTTATAATTTAAATATTAAATAACTCTATATAAAAATCCATTTAAAATGTATTAACTATTTATCACTATTTAATGAAAATAAAAAGAAACAATACGAAGTTTAATATGGTCAGCTAGTCCATAATCTAATACAATTTACCTACACTAATTTGTACCTTAATGTTATCCAAAATGATTATATGTTTTAAAGAATTTTTTTTTGTTAACACCAAAAGTCCAAACAGTACAGAGACCCACGTTCCAGAGTCTTGTGATAATAAAAGGCGCCATGTTGCTTGCGATGCATCGCAAAGCTAAAGGCAGGGTACACTTGTGACAGTAACCACAGCTTGGAATGTAACGCGTTACGGACGCCCTACCTGCCCTAAGCACAGACTGGATATGTTAGGACAATTATTGCTTTTCTATACACATTATGCATTTCTACACAGCCATAATGTAATATTCTAATATTAAAAAGCGCAATGAAAATGTTAAAAATTATTTTCTTCTATTTTAAACTTCTAATTTTATCCGGTGAATATTTAATTTCTGTAAAGTAAAACAATTTTTGAAATAGACACATTTTTAGAAACCTGTATATACTGTTTTAAGAAATATATAGATTCATTGTTAATATTTAAAGCAGATTTTATAATTACAAACTTTAGGGTTGGTTTTCCATTAACACCTTGATAAATTTAAGTAAGTAGAAAATCAAAATGCAACACGATGCATGGTCTGAGGGGAACCCCCGAATACGGAGAGAAAGTATAATAAGCATTAAGTAAAGTTTTACGTTACTGAGTCTTATTTAGTCCACTGTGAATGTAGACATTTATGCACCAAGTGCACTAAAAGGCATGCATATCTTGAAAGATGCCTAATAATAAATTAACAATAAATATTTGAAAATTCAAGTAAAAGGTCAGTAGAGCTGTGGTAGCTTAGGGACTAAGAGCTTACTGTAAATTTCACAATACGCAAGTAAGATTTCGATCCCCGCCGGCACCGATGTAAGTGTTAATGGTGAAATTTATAAAGGAATCCACCATGAGGTCCGAGAAATAAAAATATTCCGTAGACATGTGAATTCCGCCTACACTGCTTGTAGCTCCAGACCCCTCTCAGAAATGAGAGGAGGCCTGTGCCTAGCAGTAGGACGTGTAATAGGGCTGCTTTTTTATGCATAACTTTACTTTTAGCTTTAAAAAGAAAGTATGAGAAACGTGTACGGAGACAAAATCTACTTTAATATTTATTTTAAAATTTATAGAAAATCTCGTTAACAACAAACCACAGTTACCAATTAAAGTAACATAGTATAAGGAAACGTATTAGTTACTATTATTAACGAACTAAATTCTTTTTGTTTTTTATTTACAATAACAATCATTTTTATAGTTACATAAAGCGATATTTAAATTATATACTCACTAGCTAAGAGGTTTTATTTTTGCGTAACAAATTTAACGTCTGTACAGATTTAAAAAAAATATCGCTTTGAAAAATTTGTTATTGTAAGGGACTTCCCTACGCTTGAAGGCATGTTAAGAAGTGTTACGGTCCAAGCATTATCCCCACCATTAGTAACCTGTATAATAACACAAATATCACAAGACTAGTGGACAACGCCGTTCCTTTGTCTGGGGTAACCATTGTAGTCAATTTTCTTAGCACTCGGTTCTTCTGGTAGCGGTTCGACTTTAGCTTTCTTCCCGGGCTTGGGGGAGAGGTAGGCCTTGTAGAAGAAGTGTGCGAAAAGTACGAAATACGAGAAATACATTGCCATAGAGAGTTTGATATTTATTTGGCTGATGTGGCAGGAGTGGGGAGGTGCGGTCGCCATGTAGTTGTGCGCCCAGATGTTGATAGCACAGCCGACTATCATCTGAGTGAGCTGCAGGAAGGTGATGGTCATCGCTAGCATCTTCGGCGGGTACCTGCCCATGCTGACGAGCGCGTAGTATGAGTACATGACACTGGAAATAAAACAAACATTATTAAATCCACCATTCGTATATGCTAATCTACTTCCTTGTATCACTGGAATTAGGCTTTCTATTGTTTGCCAGGCAATCATAATAAAAATATTGTTCTGTACTTTTCTATATTTTTTTAATCCACAATGGTATTAGGAACAGGATTATAATTTTTGATTCCACTATATTACCGCTACCTTATTATCAGGGCTCATTCCTACTAAGACGGACCGCCATTTTAAGCGCTGATCGAAGTATGATCTCAAACTGATACACTGATCGGTGTATCAGTTTGAGATCAGACTTCGTTCACGATAGACCACGAAATTATCACAATGCTAAAGAATTAAGAAGAAGAAGACGTAAAAAGAAAACATTGGGTGCATCACACATTTTAAACATTAAGTTTTTTAACTACTTCCGAATGTCCATTTTCTCTTCTGATGATCTCTTTAGATGATATTGCACGAGCGCAGACCCCAATGCCTGCGGGGTGAGCCGCGGAGAAGGCACATCGGTGCCATCTCGTCGGTGGATTCATTTACACCATATCCGGGTCGAGCGTTTTTAAGGGTTCTTCGCAGTGACAAAACGCCTGTTTAAAAACCCTAATCAGTGTTTTTTCTCGGATCCCTGTTAACAGTTTCATATAAATTGTACTGCCACTGGCATATCCGTGTCTTTAGACGGACCGAGAACAGACGGTCCGTCTTAGTGGTAACGAGACTTGTGTGTAGTGTAGTGTAGTGGCAGTGTAAGTATATTCACTACAATATGGGGTCACTATGGGTCGTAAGAGGCGATAGAGGCAAATTAAAACAAGCGATGGACAGCAGCATAACAACTCAAAATAATAAAAAACTGCGGTCGCCTACGCGTATGCCAAGCGTGGCAACCATGGCAAAATCGCTCCTATGAGAAAATCTATGAAGAGGCTTAGGCTTAGCTGTGGACTTATATAAGCTGTAATGGATATTATGATTATGCAAATAATTCCTATCCCTACATTGCTATCATATCATATACACAGTGGTAGAGCCACGCGGCAGCTTTTGCTGTCGCACGGATGGGCCGGCTCGAACCGGGGTGGTACCACGACCTCACAGAATACCAGCGTGAAGTAGAGGTTTACCTCTGCGTTTCGCTTGGTGAGTGCAGGTGGCCGGAGGCCCTGTTTACTGGAAATGAGGCATTCCATCTTAGTCCTCACGGGTGACAACGCATCTGCATTTTGATTCGCAAGCGAGGATAGATGTAGATGTCTATGGGCCGCAGCAACCACTTACCATCAGGTGGACTGTGTACTCGATTTTTTTTATAGGATAAGGGTGATACCCTTATCCTATAAAAAAAATCATGACTTAACCTGTCCTTTTTAAAACCAATTTTAGTCATTCAGTAATTTGAGTTGTTACATTATTACATAATCGAGTGACATTGTAACAAAAATCTTTAATATTTATATAGAAAGTTCTAATTGTATTAACCATATAGATTATACGGGACGGCCTGCATTTTATTTATTTCAAATCTGTAATGTTTAAAATTCGAAAAAAAATTGTTCATAAAAATAGTTAAAAATAAACTCCTGTTTATTTTAACTCTATCCAGAATTCACCGGAGTTACAAAATATAAAGATCGGTGCTGTTTCGAGCGTTGGAGTTGCGCTTTCAATTGCTCCAAATATAATTGTAGAGTCAAGCCGTATGAGGTGCAATTGGATGAATGGCTGGCTAGCACAAATACTCGCGCATATTTCGAATGCTAGCCAAAATCATTGTATCATTATGAATTACAAGTAACATAACAGGTATTTATCATTGCATCTCGTGTCGTTAATCGAGTCTGAGTCAACTACTACTCGGCTTGAACAGGGAAGGGTCACACTCTCACAGAATAACAGTGATTTTTTAAAGAGGTTTTAATAGACATCACTCAAGATGATGCCAAAAAATTTACTACCCATTTTACTCATTACTTAAAGTAAATTATTGTCATATACATGTACAATGTATAAGGCAATAATCATCTTTCTTTTCTCAGTACCACGCGGGAACATGATTTTAACGTTATTATAAATTTACGTGGTAGAGCCAAGCTGCAATTATATTATGGTTGTAGCATGAATGGGTCGGCTCGACCGGGTTAGGACCACGCTCTCACAGATTAATAGCGTAAAATAGCAGCTTAATTCTGCTGTATCGTATGGTGAGTGCAGTTTTCCATCTTAATCCTTCTGAGGAATACGATGGAAAGGACTAAGATGCGTTGTCGCCCCTGGCCGACAACGCATTTGCATTTTGGTTCTTAATTGAGAAGAAATGTAGATGTCTATGGACCACAGAATGCACTTACTATAAGGTGGACCGTGAGCTCGCTTGTAACGCCTATTCTATAAAAAATACGCTTTGAAGAACTCACCTGTGCACACAATAATTCATTACGACGAACCAGCGCGCGGATGAGGTGTACTCGGTGAACGAGAACCAGGTGTAGAGTAGCACGGTGATGTGGTGGTACCAGTGCAGGAAGATCAGCGGCTTCTTGCGCAACACTATGAAGACCGTGTCGCCCAGCTCAGGAACCTTCGACAGCACAAACATCGTCGTCCAGAAGCCCGATACTTTGTCTTGTTCGATGAAGCTGGAATCAAGAAATGACTGTGGTTAATTTGTGAATTATGCCAAAATATCAGCACCGAGGCCACAGATGGGTAAGCGAGATGGTTATACTATACCACCATGAATCGATCTGGAAAGTTCCATTGTCGCCTCCTACTATCGTACGGGACTAAATGGAGCGATGGATTCTCTTCCGCTACCCCCACCCTCACACATCTCGTCTTATATTTTTATTAACTTAAGGTTTTACTATTTACCGTGTGTATCGTAAGAGGCGACAGAGATAAACAAATCAGGATATGGGCATCAGTGTTTCTAATAACGACTAAAATTTAAAAAACTGCGGTTGCCAACCCGGCTACCAAGCGTGGCAGCCATGACAAATATTTAATGAGGCAATCCATGGGGAGGCCTATGTTCAGCAGTGGACTTTAATAGGCTGTAACGGTATCAGTGAGTCATTGGGCTGGATGAATAGAATTTCCTCATACTGTAGCCCTATTTAAATTTATGCACAGCGCACCCTGGACAATCATTAAGTGTCATACTAGGTGGAAGGACTACTTTTTTGCCTAGGAGTCTGTCTTGATAAGTAACATATTACCTGTTTCTGTTGCTAAATAGCAGTGCGTGCACTTCTTTGTTCACGTCTGAACGAGAATAATTTATAGGCCGGTAAATATTCCATCTTAGTCCTCGGAGGTGACAACGCTTATGAAGCCTTCTTTGTTTGAAGTTAGCTGCAGGTGTCCATGGACTGCAGTATAACCACTTACGTTCAGGTAGACTGTAAGCTCGTTTGTCACTTCACTTTTATATAAAAAAAATCGTGTCGCAAATCAAACTACGATAGGGGTCAGTCTAAATAGCCAATGTCCTGCTAGACTGTTCTGCGATAGCTACTCATATATACTTTAGTTTGATTGCATTGTTAGAGCTGAGATAGTTGGAATAAATTATAGATTTATTAGTTATATATTTATAAATTTGCGAAGACCAAATCCTCTCTTAAATATTGACAGTCTCTTAAAATTCACGCAAATACTAAACCATGATAATAGAGCTAAAGTTCGGAGCCTTGTTATATGTTTAACATAGAGTAAAAGCGGCTATTAAAGAAGGATGCCCATTTTTCACCTGACTATGTATAGAAATGAAATAAATCTTAAAATTGAGCTAATTTAATTCTAAATTTAAACCGCGTATCACAAAGTTAAAAGAAACGCAGGAGAAAAATATTTTTAATATTTATTTATGCTTATTCTACTTCAAGGGTAAACTTATTACCACCATATTTTGAACGCATCTCAACTACACTTTTTGTAGGACGTTCCATTTCAGATACTTCGCATTTAGCTACTTGACTTAATTGAACTCTGTTTCTGAGTTTTAAGCATTTATTTTATTTAATCAGTAAGTATTTCTTTATATTCTTATATATATTCCTTTTCATATATATTTCTTTATTACTTTTTGTATAGTACAGATTAATTAAAAATAATATAATAATTAAATAAATTAATAATGCAGTATGTCATTGAGTGCACACGTGTGAAACAGATTTTTTGGACATTTAACAGTTCTACGATTGGCATTGGCGCAGTCCTTCGTTGTTGCCAAAGAGAATATAATCACTTGTTGTGTTTGTGTCTGGTTGTGTATTGTGCTGTTTTGTGTGTCTTTCATTGATAATATAGAATAGAAATATGTAGGGATACACAAGATTTTTCTCAGTATAATCTCAGAGGAAGTGGTGATAGAACATTAATAAGAGATTTTAATGTTCTATCAAACAAAAATTAAGTATTTGGTAATGGCAAATCCTAACCTAAAGAGTATCATTAATATTTTTGGGCTTCGTAGCGTTTAAATCGTAAAAATAACTACATGGCATTATTTTCTAAACTTACAGGAAGTTTTTCTACTATACCTTATAACTATACATAAACTTTTACTATCAGGTTTTTAAATGTATGAAAAGTGGGCATGGTTCTTTGCATCTGTCCTTTAGTAAACTTAACTTAAAACTTTGTAAACTACTTAATTATAGGTGAAAAAATGCGACTTCATCCGTTATAGACTGGTGGCCAAATAATTAAACGCTACTCAATTTCAGTTGGGTATTTTACTTTAGAGACAGCACGAAACTTAAAATGTCGTGAGAATTGCGAGTTCCCTAATCACCATATAATATTGGAATTGTACAAATGGTTGTGAAATTTCGTAGTTCTTGCATTAGTTTCTCTCTTTCTCTCTCTCTCTCTCTCTCTCTCTCTCTCTCTCTCTCTCTCTCTCTCTGAGTGTGAGTGCATGTGCGTGCGTGCGTGCGTGCGTGCGTGCGTGCGTGCGTGTGCGCGTGTGTGTGTGTGTGTGTGTGTGTGTGTGCGCGCGCAACAACCACGGTATGGTAGTATGATATGGGAAAGCAGATTATCTTATGTCACCACCACACAACGAAATCTCCGAAATTATTTTGTTTTTAATTTCTCTTCACTGTTCTCACACAAAACATATTTATATTGATGCAGGTGTTATCGTCGCCAAATAGCATCGTGGATAAGAAAACATAAAACTAAAAATTATTAAGCATGTATTCTCAATATAAATTATAGTTATCCGTGTCCTAAAAGCAACGTCGTCGTACTTGATTTTCAATAACACATTAATCTGGCCATAAATATAACCTTATAGCGCGCATACTTAATGGGATAATTTAAAATTAAAAATCTTGTACAACCGACTTCAATATATATTATTAACGATAACTCAAAAACTATTCGTCAGACCTTGATCAAATTTATATGGGACCACATGAGAAGCACCATCTTTCAAACAAAAAAAGAATCATCGAAATAGATTCACATATAACAAAGTTATGAGGTTACACACGGTGTTCTTAAAAATTCTTTGATTCTTCTTATTTAAAAAACGTTACCCCCACACTAGAATTTTCTCCTGTGTCGTGGAGACAGTTTACAAATATAAATTGCACAAGGACAAACATCCAGACCCGGAACAATTATTTGTAGGCCATACAAATACTTGTTCCGTGCGGGATTCGAACCCGCGGCCCCCAGCGCAACAACTGATTGCTAAGCCACTACGCCACGGAGCCGTCAAAATTAATTACATCTTATAGTTTATTTATTTACATTAAATTGAATTATTTACTGTATTAAAAAATACAATAAAAAACCAAAACAAAAAACTTAAATTATCATACAGTCTTGCTCCCCGCGGAATTATGCCAAGAACGCTGGCAGCGTTTCCTCGCACTGTTAACTTGAACTTGAACTCGGAAGGATGTTTAAAGATTACGAGCCACAAAACTCGCGACACGACCGCTTCGAATGTGTTCACGACTTTAACGTAAGCAGTTATATTATATAACTAGCTGTTCCCCGCGACTTCACCCGCGTGTTTTTTGGGGTTTGATTTTTTTTCGCGGAACCATAATTCTTTTTCTAAAGTAAAAGTAGCCTAAGTTACTCCTTGTGACATCAGCTATCTGCCAGTGAAAATCCCGTCAAAATCGGTTATCAGCCGTTTCAGAGATTAGCCGGAACAAACAGACAGACAGACGGACAGACAGACACAAAAAGTTTAAAAATTGTATTTTTGTTATAAGTACCGTATATACTTTCATATGCATTTAGTAAAAAGCTGTAATTTTGACATTACAAACAGACACTTCCATTTTATTTATTTGTATAGATTGATCATGTAGTGGCGGTGTAAGAATATCAACCACATCATGTAGTCTCGTGGGTGTCACAAGGAGTAACTTAGGCTACTTTTACTTTGGAAAAAGAATTAGGGTAATGCGAAAAAAATTAAAACCCCAAAAAACACGCGGGGGAAGTCGCGGGGAACAGCTAGTAATAACTAAAAATAAAAATCTTCGATTGCCAACTATACGGCCAAGCGTTGCAACTATGGCATATATGAAACAATCTGTGCGGGAGGTCTATGTTCAACAGTTGTATCACATTATACGTGGTAGAGCCACGCTGCAGCTATATTATGGTTGTAGCATGAATGGGTCTGCTCGACCGGGGCAGTACCACGCTCTCACAGAATGCCAGAGTAAAATAGCAGCTTAGCGCTGCTGACCCTTTTTTACAGGAAACGAGACATTCTATCTTAGTCCTCAGGGGTGACAACGCATTGTTATTCGTAATCGATGATAAATGTAGATGTCTATGGGTCACAGCATACACTTACCATCAGGTGGACTGTGTGACGATTCCGAATGGTTTTATTTTAAGCACATTAAGGCCTATGTTCAGCATTGGACTTTTATAGGCTTTAATAGATGGATAGATAGAAAAAACGATGATATCCGTAATCCGACCCGTTATCAGATGTTCCCAAAAACTTGTTAGTAATTATTTTATTTAAGATTTTTGTTGTAACTACCAGGGGGTCATAACCGCATCAGCGATATGGCCCTTTTTCTATGAATAAAAATAATTATGTGATAGGTTACATAAACACAGTGCTTGTCGCGCACCTCGCCTCGCATATCTCGTGCAGTTTCACGCACGGAACGTTCTGCGTGTTGACATGGAGAATGCGTTTACCATTAAACGTAGGTCATTTAGAAAATTCTCTTACGATTCGTCTAGTAGTTTCCTTAACGGTCTAAACTTTTTCTCAGTCATTTGCCATCTAATAGGTCCACTTTATTGCTATTTGAATAGAAAAGGAATGACAGGCAGAAACAATAATTGTTTCAAAGCACAAATTAAAGCAATTTATTTCGCTTCTTTAACAACACGGATAAATTGCTTCCATTACGAACAGAATGAGTACATGGTAGCTGAGGGATTAAGCGCAAATAGATTTTCAAGTCACTTTTATATATATACCCAATGTTCCTTTAAAACAACATTGCTTTTTAAGAATAAATTTATATAAGACCTTGTTTCTCTCACTACATATTAAATGTTAATAAATTAGGTAAAAGGCCTAGTACGTTTCTATCAATCGAAGGTACATGGAATAATAAGAAATCTGTAC